ATGGGGAAGTCTGCCTCTGCCTCCTGCTAGCCTTTGGTGACTCCTGCTTCGTCTTAGTGAGGGGGTGGGTAGCAGAGTGGTCAGACTGACGGACCGTCCGCAGGTCAGGGAACGCTACTCCGTTGTTTTATGCCTTTGAGACCTCATAGTGTCATCTGGAAAGTGGAGACAGCAGTTACGATGGAGGGCTGTGGAGGATTAGATGGTTGTGAGGTGTCAGTATGAGGGCTTAGTGTGAACTGAGATGTCAGGTACCTATTCGCATCGCCTCGTCAGCCCCTCAATATGCACATGGTTCCTGAGGTTCCTTGAGTAGGTTGGCCCGGAAGCCCCAGAGTTAGTTCTGCTCTGAGGACACTTGTGCACAGTTGGGGGGGAGGGGTGTCAGTGTTTGCAGCTGGGAAAGAGGCCTCTGGAATGAGGTAAGTGAACATCCCAGGTGTAGAGGATGCTGTTGTCTCTTGGTCATCCCAGAATGCAGGAAAGCTTCCTAGGTAGGAGAATAAAGAGCCACGTACACATCTCCCTCACCGGCCACTTAGCTATCCCTGAGCATGGAACCCCAGCCTCACAAAACTATAAGATACAGAAACTGCCATCTTCTATCAGTTACACGAGGGTGAATATGCCAAGCTGAGAGGCCTCCCTACTCCCAAGAAACAAACAGGGTCTCCTAGACCCAGCCAGGCCTCTGTCTACCTAAAGTGTACCCCATACACCTCAAGACTAGCAAAGCTAGGCATACACCAGAGATAAGCAGTACAGATAAGAGAAAATGCTTGTAGATTTCAGGCAGAGGACGGGAGGCGAGCTGCGCAGTCTCACAGGCTGAGGTTTTACTCACTGGTGCGGAACTTGACCAAGCCTGTCGTCATTCTGACCCTCAATTTCCTTGTCAGAAAGATGAAGGTGATCGCAACGCTGTTGTGTGGGAAATATTTGGCCCATGGGTGTGGCCACCACAGACGACGCAGCCTTCTTGCCATCATTTCTAAAACTATTTGCATTACTGATCCTCAAAGGAGGATGAACCAACTCGGATCAAATATTGTAGAGGTCTTTACTCCAAAGAAAGAGGTTTAAAACTAGCCCATGTCCAGCCTCTAATGGCTAAAGTCCATTGCAGGTACAGTTTGAGCATTCCTAATTCAAAAAGCCTCAACACTCCGAAATCTGAACCTTTCTGATCACCTGTATGACACCACAGGCAGAAAAGTCCACACTTAACCTCACATGACAGATCACACAGTCGAAAACAAAACAAAAAGCATGCAAAACCATTATAGAAAAGGTTCTGCAGGCCTTATATATAAGGTGTGTATGAAACATAAATAAAGACCGATTTGGGTCCCCTCCCTCAACTCTCTCATTATTCATCCACAAATATTCCACAGTCTGAAAGTCCAAATACTTCTGGTCCCAGGTGTTTTAGGTAAGGGTTGCTGAGTCTATAGTCTTTTTTCTTCTTCTTTTTCTTCCTTTGGTGCTTTTCAAATGCCCTCATCTCTTGCCCATGACCAGATAACTCAGAGCTCCTTTTATGGCAGCCCCAGACTGGGTTGAGTAGCTGCCAGTCTTTTGACCCCCAAAGAGAAAGAGCAGAGGCAGGCAGCTCGATCTTGCCGGTGCTGAAGTTCAGAAGGCCATCCGCAGCGTCTAATTCTCCATAAGCAGCTTAATTTTTATCTCTCCCGACACCTCCTCATCGTGCCTGGGGGAGCCAAGCAGCTGGTAGAGGATGACTGTCCAAGAGACTGTGCCCTTCTCTGTCTTCTTCTGCCCCTTGTTTCGTGAGCGCTGCCCCTTGGGTTCAGTTTCCTAGTAATTCGGCCAGCCTGAGTTATTTCAATGTTTCACCTCTTGGCAAGAACATCTCATGCTGAGAGATGTAGGAGCAACAGGAGACAAAGGAGCACCCAGGGGAGCCAAGGAAGCCAAGCGGGACCTGGTGAATAAGTATTGCCAAGATCCGCACAGTCTAGATAGACTCTAAATGTGAGGCAGGGTTGTTACTTCTCTGTCCACAGAGCCGTCTTCCTTGTCTGAATCAAATACTTCTCAGAGCCAAGTATTGCTGTTGGACTCGTGAATCTGGACTAGGGTGTCAAGCCCAAAAGCCTTCTCAAGCAAGGAAGCTTCAGGGGAAGAGGGTACACAGTAGGGAGGCATGAAGACTGTGGCAGAGAACATACATCCTGCCTGTGAATGTGTCCACTGCACAGCTACCAACACCAGAATCATTGTCAGAGGTTTTTGAGATTTGTTTTCCAAGAAAAAGCAAAGTTCTAATGTATGTGTGAGTGAGTATATGTGTGTGTGTCTGTGTGTGTAGTATGTGTGAGTGTGTGTGTGTGTGTGTGTAGTGTGCATGTATAGTATGTGTAAGTATATGTGTGTGTAATATGTGTAGTGTGTGTATAGTATGTATGAGTGAGTCATGTGTGTGTGTG